CGAAAAATAACTGAATACAGGAAGAAAAACTTAGGAGGTGTATAGGTACAATAAGGAGTTCTTAAAATCTTAAGAGATCTGGTTATATTTACGCAAACCAAATATAAACCTAATAGGTAGATTAGAATCGGTTCAAGTTTGTTTGGTTGGATTTTAGTTAAATAATGCAAACACAAGCTGCGTTCGCAGAGATTAGAAAGAAAAGAAAAAGTTCATTTAATTGATAGGCTTCGTGGAGCAATGGTTTAGCAAAACGAGTAACAACGCCAAGCGCCGCGGGTTCGAATACCGTACGTAGTTGTTCCGGGTATGGATGTTTGTCTTTGTGATATGTATGTATGTAAACTAAGCCCCCACGATATAGGAGAAAATCCTAGTTTTTTTAAAAGAAGAAAAACATTGATGAGACCACTATAAAATAGAGGACTGAGATAGAGACACCACCGTATTTAACGATTGTACTTGAAGGTATCAAACACCACTTAACGCCACTGAAGGAAGCACAATTATGCCAGGATGAACAATGATAATAATCTGGGACTTACGGATAACCTTAAGACCATGACACGGAGTCCATTGATCAATGGACTTCCTTTTATAACCCGATAATAAGAATGTGTCGACTTTACAACGAGATATCCATGAAAAGCTCCGGCTTGGATGTTTTTGACCGAAGATCCAGGATATTCAAAAGAGCAGTAAAACAGTTCACACTTATGCACACTCATTCCCATAAAACAAAGGTTTTCAATTTCTTATTTGTATATTTGTATTTTTTGTATAATGTAGTTATGTATGTCATAAACATTGTAAAGCGTAGAGTTGATGTCCTGTATTTAATATAAAAATGATGTGTCAACATATTTAGGATAACAATCTGACACAAAACTGTTATATATATATATATATATATATATATATATATATATATATATATATAATGGATTTGATTGTTATCTGTTTTGTTGTCCACATAATAATAAATAAATGCCAGAAGCAGTGATAGGCAAGTCTTTAAAAGTTGATCGCTTGTATGCAAGTAGCATATAATAAGGAGAAATATTTTTTGGTAAATTGAATAATGAAGTTGCCATAGAGTACTGGAGGAAACACACCGCTCTGAGGCATTCCAGCCCATAATTCATATCAACATGAAAACTTAACTTCGATGAGAATACGGTGTCGTGGAATAACTTCGAAAGCAGCCACTAATAAATACATGTTAAGTAAACGTAACATACTAAACAAGATGTTAGATTCAACAATTTTGCATGCATTGCTAAAATCTTGTTAATTATTTTATTCTTTATAAATCAGGGGAAACCTATGTTCAGCAATGGACTTTTGAAGAGTTGTAATGATGATGAAACAAATTAGGCCTTCTTCAACGAATGCCACAAACACGGGGCTTGAACCACCTGCATCAATCGACTTCCTGCATGTCTTACCAGGCTGTCACTTCATCTAGTGGGGGGGGGGGGGGGGGGTTCAGCGTTAAGAATGGTCAGTTTTATAATTATTCATTTGTATTTTATTTCTGTCTTCTTATGTTTGTAGTTTATAATAATAGTAGTAATATGTATTTAATATTTAACCGTATATTCATATAACTTTTCATTGTCAATATGATTAAAATAATATTTTTGTAAAGTATATTTTAAAATAATACTTTTGTTAATATAATATATTTTAGAATTCAGTTAAATCTTTCCAAGGGCCGGTACTATAATTCGCAAATAAAAGTTAATCATAATATTATAAAATACAAACAAATGAATAAAAAAACAAAAACAAAAAAAATACATTATTTTAAAAATAAAATATTTCAATTATTCTACTTTTCTTTGACGATTGTAAAATCGGCCCTAGAGCAACTAAAGCCGCCTTCTGACGACTATCTATATTGGGCTATTGATTTCTGTTCACAGAGGCTGTGTGACAAGACAGTTACGTAGTCGGCCGGTACAGAAACATACATACGTTGGCGGTTTTATAGTTTCATCGTTGATTCTCAGATTATATTAATAACCTAAATATATCTACTTGTATATGTAATTATTCTGCATAATATAATGTTAGAATATGACATAAATTAAAAAAAAAACAATACTGCTGGTAAAAATATATGTATTTTTTTATTTAATTTATTAATAAAAATCCTTCCTCTTTACAAGTGAGAATAAAATTTTACATTAATATTTTGACAGTATTTTGACCGTAAAATCTTTGTTTCCAAAATATAATTATGGAAATAAAGACTTTAATTGTAATGGTAACAGGTTAATTATAGGGCACATTATAGACAACTTGTTAACGGCTTCATTAAAATAATTCACTTGTTTAATATTGGATTTGACAATTAGCATGTATATCGAATTAGAGGAGCGTGATGTCTGGTACCTAATGCGATCGTTAATCTGGTTGCCAAGCACGACGGTTAAGGGAAGCGGGAGAGGGCAGTAGGTAATTTAATGCATGAAAACTGGTAGAAAATAATTCCTTTTTCACTCTTTTGAAAAGGTATTAATTCTGTTTTGTTTTGATAAAATCTGCACAAGTTATTCATGTTCATCTCCCAACTCTCTTAAGCTACATTTTATGTTGTTAATAACAACACAAATCGCGTCTCTTTGTTAGCTAATAAAGAACGGAATGTTTTATGTAATTCATAATTACTTATACGAGGTAGAAACATGCTGCAGTTATATTAGTAGTATAGTTGTAGTACGAATGGCTCGGCTCGACCGGGGAAGGACCACGCTCTCACAGAATACCAGCGTAAAATAGTAGTTAATGCTGCTTGAGTTTCGTATGGTGAGTGTAGAGAACCGGAGACCCTTTTTAATGAAAACGAGGCATTCCACCTTAGTCCTCACGGCTGACAACGCATCTGCATTTTGATTCGTAATCGAGGATAGACGTAGATGTCTATGGGCCACAGCAACCACTTACCATCAGGTGGACTGTGTGCTCGTGTGTCACCCTATAAAAAAAATATTATTTCAAATATATTTGTGAGCAATGAGAACGAGCCAGTAACTGAAATCTTAACATCTTAGTAAATATTGTTGCGCGCCACTATTAATGTCTTGTATATGGCAACACTAGTCGCGACTAGCGTCCTCTAGTGTCGAGTAGCAGAACTAGGAAAGTCAAGATCCTAGAAATTTCGCGATCGATATGTACCCGAACATTTTAGATATCGCTACCGTAGAAGGTTCTGGAAACTACCTGAGGCCCTATATAATGCCGGTATAGACCACGACCGAGTCAGTATTGAATTGGCGGTACAAGAGAATACTTTGAAGCGAAACAACTGCGAAATTAAGTGATCAGTAGTACAATTGTGTTTTATTATTAGTGTGGTTTTAAATAGTAATTAGTGTTGTGTAATTAAAGTGTCAATTTTGGTAATTCAATCGGCAGTTTTTAATTGTCTCAAACTCTAAGCTCGTAATAATTGGTGTCACAAGTGGGATCAAATATGCCGATTTTACCTAAAGACGACACGGAGGGTATCCGTACCCGAAGTCAACGCCAACAGGAGACGGACCAGAGATGATTTGGTAATGCAACGCCGCAAACGTCGGAGGGCCAGCTGCTAACCACGGAGGCCGGCCCGTCAGCAGTTCCTGCATCTGCAGCACCTGACTTAGGTGCTGTGATGATGATGCTGCAGGATCAGGCTCGTCAACAGGAGGAACAGGCCCGCCGACAGGAGAAACAGACCCGTCGGTTAGAAGAGCAGCTGCAGTGCGGTATGGAAAAGCAGATGCTTCTCAGGAAGGACCTTCACGTTCACCTTCGGGAAAGAGATAAAGGAGGTGAAGGATAGGGTTGCTCAACATGGCAACCGCCTGTCGCAAGCTGAAACCCGAATCGACCAAGTGAACAATCGGGTTGACAACGTGATGGTTGACGTGAAGAAAACGCTGGACGACCTCAAAATTGGGGATGGAGTTACAGCTCCCGTGGTAGCTACAATACCTTTGCTACGTGGATTCAAAGTGCCGCCGTTCAACGGGACTTGTTCCTGGTTGGCCTACAAATACAATTCGAGGCTGTCATGAAGGCGAACGGCTGGAATAAAATCAGGCCATGACTGCTCTCACCTTAGACCTGCGCGACCAGGCCTTAACTGTTCTGGAAGCTCTCGGTAAGGACGACTTAAGAGCGACTCCTTGAGGCATTGGAGGTGCGATATGGCGACGCTCACCTGGAACACGTCTTTCGTGCGTAGCTCAAAGATCGCGTGCAACGCAGTAACGAAGACCTGCAGCAGTGGACCCTTGAGGTGGCCCATACCAGTCTGTACCTGTGCTCATTGTAGGGAACCTGGTGCAGACATTCATCGACAGCATCTGCGACCTTGAAGTCAGAGCTGCTGTGAGGATCGGGCACCACGAGACGCTTAAGGACGACTTGACCCATGCACTGGAGGTGGAAGCCGCGCGACAGGATCATCGTTCCTATCGCGTCAGGGAGGTTGCAGCAGCTACAGTTCGTGACCGCAGTAAAGGATACAAGCCTACGTGCTACGGCTGTGGGGAGATGGACCATCTTCGATTCAGCTACCCTAAGCGAACTGTAGAAAGGGAAGGTGATCGATCTCGAGAGGGTAGTGCGGTCAACAGCACCGCCCAGCGTAGCGGAAAATCTCATGAAAACGCAGATGCATTGTCAAGAAGACCGTGTCCTGAACATTGTAAGCATTGTACTAGGCAAGAGGGTAAGGAAGTGGTATCTGTGAGGATACTCAGGACAGACCAGCTCAGCAATGAGTGGAAGGACAGCTTACAACATACACAGCAGGAAGATTTGGACATTAAGCCGATTCAGGAATGGATAAAGGCCAGTGCGCCTAAGCTCAAGTGGAGCGACGTCTCAGCGATGAGTTCGACCACGAAAAGCTATTGGGCCGAATATTGGGCTTGCTGATTCAGGATGGAGTCCTGTGCCGTAAATGGGAAAATGGTCGGGGAGACAATTACCATTTGCAAATGGTTGTGCCTAAGGCTAAAGTACCGGATGTTCTACAGCTGTACCATAGTGGTTGTTCAGGAGGCCACCTGGGAGTTAAACGAACTCTACTGAAGATCCGAGAACGGTTTTACTGGGTCCACTGTCGTGACGATGTCGAGGACTGGTGCCGCAAATGTACAAGTTGTGCGGCTATAAAGGGACCTCAAACTCGTAGAAGAGGCGCATTGAAATTGTACAATGTTGGTGCACCATGGGAGAGGATAGCCATTGACGTAGCGGGGCCGTTTCCGGAAAGTGAAAGTGGTAACAAGTATTTCATGGTTGTGATGGATTACTTCACTAAGTGGCCAGAAGCCTTAGCTATTCCAAATCAAGAAGCTTCAACAGTTGCAGATAAACTAGTTCATGAAGTCTTCTGTCTTTTTGTGGTGTACCTTTAGAGATTCACAGCGATCACGGAAGGAATTTTGAGTCTCAAATATTCCAGGAAACTTGCCGAGTTATGGGTACTCATAAAACGAGAACAACTTCTTATCACCCACAATCTAATGGAATGGTAGAAAGATTTAATCAGACATTGGAGAGGTACCTAGCAAAAGTTGTGGAAAAACGGCAACGAGACTGGGACAGGCACATACAACCGTTTTTGTTGTCATATCGACGCGCTGTTTACGAAAGTACATCAGTGATACCAGCTTTCGCAAACTTTGTGAGAGAATTACGGCTGCCTGTAAAACTGATCACCGGAATACCACCAGATTCCGCACGCAGTATAACCTATGCAAATGACATGCGGAACAAAATGAATGACATTTTTGAGCACGTCAGACAGACGGGCCAGCAAATGTCTGAGAAGATGAAAACACGGTATGGTCGCAAAATGAACAACAAAGGGTTTGACGAAGGTTCACTAGTGTGGTTACACAATCGAGCTCGCAGCAAAGGGAAATCTCCTAAGCTTCAAGCTAAATGGGACGGACCGCACCGGATTGTGACAAGTATCAACGACGTAACCTACCGGATACAGAAAGGTCCATGTGGATCGACTGGCGCGTTATTATGGGGCCAATAATGCTCGGGACGAGCATGTCTTAGGAAGGGGCAGTGTTGCGTGCCACTATTAATATCTTGTACATGGCAACACTAATTACACTAGCGCCCTCTAGTGTCGAGTAGCAGAACTAGGAGAGTCAAGATCCTTCTAGAAATTTCGGGACCGATGTGTACTCGAACATTCTAGATATCGCTACCGTAGAAGGTTCTGGAAACTATCTGAGGCCCTATATAAGGCCGGTATAGACCACGACCGATCAGTATTGAATTGGCGGTACAAGAGAATACTTCGAAGTGAAATAACTGCGAAATTAAATGATCAGTAATACAATTGTGTTTTATTATTAGTGTGGTTTTAGATTGTAATTAGTGTTGTGTAATTAAAGTGTCAATTTTGGTAATTCAATCGGCAGTTTTTAATTGTCTCAAACCCCAAGCTCTTAACAATATGAATGGAAACTGTAGGTGACTTATATATATATATAATGATTTAAATACCGGTCAAGATGTTGGAAATATATTATTTTTTATAGGAAATAATGCATTTGTTTTGGAAAGAAATCAATATACAGGTTTTACTATTATGAAAAAGTTAATTAAAATAATCCATGTATCTTTGACTAAACGTTGATAAGTACAGAAAATGTGTCTTACAATCGTAGGTAGTTTAATATTGTCCTAACTAATTAAGTTCTGTACTGGATAGTGGCGACGTAAAAGAATTCATATTTCTCATACAAGCTCAAAATATTATTAGATTGATAGACAGATAACACTTTATTGTACGCCAAAATAAACATAAATATTAATAAAAATGAGAAAAAGAAATGTGGTACAAAGGGCGGTCTTATCGCTAAGAGCGATCTCTTCCAGACAACATTTGGATGGATAGGATTGCAAGAAAACAATAAAAACGTGTGTGGTTTGGCGAAGAAAACAACATTATTTTTATAAAAGCCATAAAATAGAAATATAGAATGGTATATAAGTACATAGATAAAATAAATACATACATACTTATTAATATATGTATATATATATATACACACACACACATATATATATATATATATATATATAAATATAAATATATAAAAGTATAAATATACTCTTTAAAACTATTACATATAACAATACATATAAGCAATTATTGTAACTAAATAAAATTATATACAAATAAACTTGATAGATTCAAATTATTATATGAAAAGCTAAGGTTGCCAATTCTCCCTAAGAGTTCAATCTAGGTGGTAAGTCTATGTTTACCAGTGGATTTTGATGTAATGTAATAAATGCAAGAATAAATCAAGAATATTCCCTTTGAAAGCAATTCCCATAACCCTAATGAACGCAGAATAGCTGAGCTCTAACCAAACCAGCTGCCTAGCGAACTGAATATGAGCAAATTACCTTTTGTACTAGAATGGTTGTGCAGCGTAGTGGCGGTGTAAGAATATCCACTACCACATATCATCCCGTGGGTGTCGTAAGAGGCGTGAGTGTCGTGGAACACTGGGTTGGAACTCAGTTCCTTTCATAGTATATTATTATTGATAAACGTATGTCTATTATTGATTAACAAATACAAACAAATGAATTACTAGGGCCTATTAAAAATGAAGCGTCATTTAAAATAATATTACTTTCATGGCAAGATAAGAAAAAGTGTGAAGGAGAAGGATATTATTCCATCTCGCTCGCACTACAAAGGATCGTGCGGGAAAAATCCTATTAAAAATAAAGTAAAATTATTTTATGCGTGCAGTTGGGGTCATAAATCATAGCTCGGCCTCAGCCTGGTGGTAGGGCGGTGAGCATGTTGCGCGGGCGCAACGCCATTATCGATAACAACAAATTTAATTTTAGGCATAAGTTATTATCTTTATATTTATATTTATTTTTAATATCACTTTTTACATTCCCAATATTTGTACTTATAGTTTTTTAATACATAGATACCTAATTAATAATTTATTTTAAATCATTATTATTCTTATTTTAATAAATACGTAGTTTTATCTAAGTTTTTTTCATGTTTATCACTAACCCACGTAATGACAAAACTAAATACACTATTGATAACATTTATCGCCAAAATTAATGCGCATCACTATGCTCGCCCATAAGGCCCGTGAGTGGGAGAGAGAGCGAAATAATCCGATGATTTATGACCCAAACTGTACGGACAAAATAATTCTAGTATAGGTACACTTTTTGTCGACTAGCCCCCATCGGCAAATTTGTACCGTGCGATAAGGAACGTCGTTTCAAAAAACTTCGATTGCCAACCCGCTTGCCAAGCGTGGCAACTAGGCAAATATCCGCCATATATTGGGGATATAATCGGGAGATATAATTATATGGGGACGGCTTATGTACATCAGTGGACTTTAATGGGCTGTGACGGTAACGGTTGTGAGTGTAAATTATAATAAATAAAACATCGTGTAAAAACTAAGCCTTATTGCACATTTTGCATGCAGAATAGTTTATTTTTAAAATATTGTAGAAAGTAAATTCTCAGTAAATAGCGCTATTCGAATGAATTGTATATTCCTCGTCAACTTAGTTAATTCCTGATCTAACAAAACAGAACTCGTTCGTGGATACTGTAAATTAATGTGATTTCATAGTCTTTCATTCGATGAAAAAATACCTTCGACATTTTATTTTCGACTTTTTAAATACTACTGTTTACATTTTATGTCGTTAAGAACTATTATTTACTTAGGTCTTCAGGGTCGTACTAACTTAACTCCACAGAAGATGCAATAATGATAGTCACAAATTTGATTTGATAAACCACAAATTCTCGCGAAAGAACATCGATTCCTGCCAAGGATGATACGTGAGGCTATTGAAATTAAAATAAACACCCTAATTTCAATAGAGAGGGAGGCTGGGTACTACCACCTGCTTGGAATTCTGTAATTAATAAAATTAAAACTAAATCCAAGCATACCACTGCAAGAATTCAAGACACAGTAAGTTCATTCTGAGTAGATCGGACCGAAATTAATAATTAAAAAAGCTGAAGGTACTCTGGGTTAACTCTGACATCGAGACGTCAATCACCTCAGTCCCCCGTGACCACGGTTGCTGGAAAGCAACCGAAACGTCGGAAATATAAAATAAGTCAATTAAACGCGATAAAATCCGTAAAAGTACTGTCTGTAGCGTTGAGCTTATACTGCACTCTGCCTCCTCTTGTATCACGAGCGATGTTTGACTCATTAACGATATCTCGTTAATTGGATTTGTTTAAGTTTTCACAGAATCGATGACCTATACAATTCCATTTCTTTTGGCTTTTACTCACTACGTTAGCTACTCGTATACGTGGCTCTGTCGCGTGTTAGGATCTCAAAAAAAAAAGAGTTTTAATTAGTCCCAGATACGTCAATAATGTATATGGGAAAGCATAATTTTAAATAAGAAAAATTAAAAAAAGTTTTTTTTTTAATTTTTACTTGTAAATTTTAACCCATGTTTAAAGTTGGACTTAAATGTAATTCATTTGTATTGATTAAATGGTTCTTTATTTATAAACCTGAGTACAATACTGAGGCAATAAACTTGACTTGCCCACGCCATATAATTAGTAATTTCGCCATCTACGGCTACAGAGTTTTATTATTATTATATATAATATATATAATTTATTTTCTATAAATTTTGTTTTGTTTATGAATGTTTCATTTAACCAATTTTTTTTAAATATTATATCTTATAAATAAAACTTATGGTCGACAGCTTCAAATAAAAACCATTCTAATTTTTTTTTAATATGAATGGCAGAAATGCTGTTTTAGTGCCGTGTAAGAGATTGCCTTTAAAATGTGGCGATTAATATGCTCGTACAAGTGTATATACCAGAAGTTAATGACCTAAGTAATATACAACATCAAACAATTATACCATTACAGTACTAATAAAAAAAAGTATGTCAAATACTGTACACTCACAACTACATTTTAAAACTAAAAAGATCTAGGCTTTCGACTCTCTTCAATGTACAAATAACATTAATCTTCCAAAACCAAGACCGGAGACCCTTTTTACTGGAAAAGAGGCATTCTATCTTAGTCCTCACGCCTGACAACGCATTTGCATTTTAATTCGCAAACGAAGATAGATGTAGATGTCTATGGGCAACAGCAACCACTTACCATCAGATGGACTGTGTGCTCGTTTGTCACCCTTATTCTATGAAAAAAACATGCACAAATTACGTCAAAAGGAACAATTAATATCGGATATAAAATTGTTCAATAAAATCAATAATGTTAAATTAATTTAATCCATCCATCCATTACAGCCTATAAAATACCACTGCTGAATATAGACCTCAATCGTTGATTGCCTCAAGGGGGTATTTTTTCATAGT